AGCGAAGCAGAAATCCTATACCTCCGGTGTTTTAGGACAAAAGTCACAAAGAAAATTTTTAAGAAGCAGTGGTATAAATAGTGCAGCTTGTCCAAATGGTTTGCACTCTGCTCCTGCCCAGTGCTGTTCTTTTCTCCATACATCCCCACTGGCCTCAGCTGAACTGCCAGCTTCTGACCCTTGGCACCACAGGGATGGGACCACACACTTTCCAGAAATAAAGAGGTTTTGCTCAGAGACAAGCTGTCCAATGCCTTGCTGGCCTACAACAGCATGAGCAGCTGTGTGTAACCAGCACATCACAAACACTAGAAGGTAAGGGAGCTGTTTCCAGTTTTATTTTCAGGGAGAGAGAGGACAGGGAGGTGCAGGAGTCCAACAGCTACACTCATTAAGTGCTTTACTATCACTATGACAGAAGTTTCTTTCTCTAATTCTGTTCTTAGTGTCACAAGCAGAGACCAGCACTTTTACGAGGGCAAATGTACCTTACTCTTAGCATTGACATTTGTGCGTTTATTTCCCCATTGGCACATGTCTTAAATCCTAGATTGACAAATCTCTGAGACAGGCATACTCCCTTGTACATCACGGTTAATAGTAGTCTGGAGACCTGCCTTTGAGTTTGATGCCTTTGGTGTTACCCAACCGGTAATACTATTTACACCCTTGAGAACAAATGTGTTACCTTTCTGCTCAGCCATCTCCCAGAGCTCATGGGCCGCCTTAGCAGACAAAGCCATGGGGTACTCAACGAGGACATGTTTCCCAGCTTCTAAAAACATTCTGAAAGGAATATAAGATCAGTCTTTAAAAAGTATATCATCATAATCATCTCTCTCCCATAGTCAGCCCCATTTGGAGAAATGCACAACACTGAGTAACAGAAATAAATGGCAACTTTGCTAGCAAGAATGGTGTGGTGGCTCTATCACACATTTAAACACTAGGAGGGCTGGGTTCTAATTCTCCTTTTTCTACAGAATTCCCTCACTCACCTACCACAAGTCACTACAATGCCACAGCGTTGAGCACTGAGATTTCTAACTTCCAGACATTTGAGTGGCTGGAGTGGGACACTGGAATCTTCCTCTATATAATTTCTGAGGAAAGGCTTTGAATCCTGTTTTAAGCTGCCTGTCCATCAAATAGAGGTACACAATTGGAATTACTTAGGAAATGAATGCATCTTAAATCCAACTCTCTTCCAGGGCTTATTGGGTGCTCTAGGGAAGTTGCTGTCATTCACTTCAGGCTTCTACTCTGGCATTCTCTTCTCCAGCATCTGCATCCTCTCCTGTAACAGCTTTACACAGCTCCTCAATGCTTCTAAATTACAGGGGAAAGGGTGGGAAAAGGGAAAAAAAAAAACCACCTCAAAATACCTGATGGTTTCTTCATGGGTTTTGTTCTCTGTGCTGATGAAGGCTGCATGGATCTCTTTGCTTCTTAGAGCATCTTCCAGGCTAATCTGCTTGGCCTCATTAATACTGCCAAAACTTCTCCTGCATATTTAGCATAAATACAACCAGAGCATAACCATCACAGTCCATTCTTCCCAACTGCATGTTCTGTAGCAGCACTTAGAAATTGTTCCCATAGACCACTGTCTCACTGAGCTCAACCAGGGTAGAACAAAGGCAGCCTGTGATTAAGGAAGGGTACAATTCTTACAGACCAAAATGGCGTGCATAAAAGAAGAAAACAGATGGGTCAGCATGTAGGTGGTGGTATCAGTACATAAATTGTCCTGCTATTGAAGTCTAAAGTGCTTTTTTTTTTTTGGTTTGGCTTTTTGTTGGGGTTTTTTGTTTTGTTTTGGTCTTTTGGTTTTTAGTAAGCATCATTACGAAAGAGCCATTTTAAAAGAGTGAATTGAAAGAGGACAGTGCTCCTATGGGAGAACTTCTCTCCATCATGCTGGACAACATGGGCAAAAGCACTTGAGTTGGCAGGGCCACATGCAACTACAACAAGTATGGACGGGCAGAAGAGGGACAAAGCAGATGCTTGGCTATGGCGGCTCATACCTTGCAACACCCACGCCACATTAGTGCTAAGGAGAAGGCTCTCTTGGCCACCACCCTGAGCACATATCCACCTGAAAATGAAACACACACTCCCCCCAAAAGCCCTTTGCGTTAGTAAAGACTGGAGCGGACACCTTGACAGTGTTAGGATGGGTGACAGAGGGCGTGAAGGTAGGCTACAAGCAGGACTTGAAAGCAAAGACAGGTAATGTTTGTACGTGGTTGGAATGCAAGGAGCAAGGCAACATATCCAAGCAAGCTGTCTGTGAACTGTGCATTTCGACAGCACTGTCTCTCAACAGAAGTAGTGGAAACCCCATCTTCAGTGTTGTTCAAGGCTAGCCGTAGCACTAGCAAAAGGCATCAGGGAACCAACAGTGTATTTGGCAAGGAGATAAACTGGATGACCTAATGGGTCCTTTCAGTCGCAAATAACCCTGACTGCATGATTTAAATATAGCTGGAAAAATATGTTCATGGTCTGAGATTCATACATGTACCGCCTAACTATTTAAAACCTTTATGCTCCACTGTTATGGGGCAGATGATTTAGGGGGAATGCTCAGAGGTAGGTATATGTGTAACACAGTCCTGCTAAATTTCCATGGCTCCAAGCTAGTGAGAAAAACCATAAACTTGCTTTCTAAGAGGCAACCTTACTGTACGTACTAAATTATGACATTTTCTTTAGAAGACATCTACAGGTTGGGTATTTGGTTAAAAAAAAAATAGAATTTGAGGGTGAAGTTGCAGTGTTAGGAGCTTTACAACACTTTTTGTAAAAAAAAAAGTTTTCAAAAATTTTGTAAAACATCTAATGTTATTTAAACATTTCTATAAATTTCATGCAGACATTAGCTCATTAATGTAATTATTGTCTGTACCATCCTAAACCTACAGGAAATTTCAGTCAGACAGAATTGCATTTCTTTTTATCACACAGATCCTGCAGCAAGAGAACATCTCTCAGCTTTTATTTTAGTAATTTCCGCAAGGTATCTCACTAAGGTAACCTATTTGTTCCCTCTTGCAAAGCTTTCTGTGCTCATTTCCTAGCTGCTACTCAGAATGACAATCATATTTGCATAAGCTTTCCCTTTTTCAGACAGCCTTAATTATAAGAGTAATTTAAAACTTTGGATATTTATCCCCTGCCCCCCTCAAATAATAGTCCTCCACATGGAAAGGCACGTGCATTCGAAGAAAGAAACATTACAATAACCATATCAAGCATGCTATGATGAAATTTCTAACCTGGATACAAATCCAAAGAGTTTCAGGTGCTCAGAAGGGCTGGAAGGCATCGGATTCATCAAATCTCGGATCCGTGCTAGGCCAGCAATTCCAACTCCAACCACCACGGTCCCAAACATTTTGTTAATCTGACCAAAGGGGGAAAAAAAAAAAAGCAACATTTTTTTTCTTTTAGCAAGGAGAGGAGCAGCTGGGAGGGGAGATGGGAGGATAGATTAGTCTTGAACCCTGCTTTCATACAGTCAAACCTTATTGAGGATTCAGATGTCAGCAACCAGCTAACAGAGATGTGATGCTATAGGCTACGGAGCTCACTCGCATCCCATTGAAATGTGGTCAAGTGGTTCAGCCTGTCATAGGACTGATCGTGAGACTTGTATTTAACAGCTATTATATCACAGCTCTGGCACAAAGTTCTTCCTTTCCGTGAATAGAAGGCAGACTTCAAAAGTGAGACATTCTTCTATTTATATCGCCGCTTCCATGCTGGAAAGGAGCCAAAAGGTTCTGCAAACCCAGCAGTGCTTTATATAAACCCTGATGACTTCCTGAGCGTCTGCAGCACAGCCTGCCCCGGGCCACCACATGGACATTCACAGTGCACGGCAGCATAGCCGGAATAGTTTGGGACAGGAAGCAAAGCACATCTTTTCTTCCCCCATGTAACCACTGGCATGTCCTACAATGTCAAGAATCAACCAACCGTCTGATAATTTGGTCAAGATGCTTGCTTGACATTTCCACGCATGAAGAAAGCTCTGCCATCTCTTTAATGACAAGCAGGCATGTCCTCAAGATTTACATCTCCCAAAAGCACATTCCTGTCACAATTGCATCATACAGAGGATAAGCCAGGTATTGCGCTCGCTGGCTGGGCCGCTGGTAATAAATTATTCTGTTGGTTTTATGTTTTGCAGAAGCACTGGGCAACTGGTATAACCTTTCAAACCTGCACTGTTCCACCACCCTGAGGACTAGCAACACTTTGTAAAACAATTTTAAGATTTACAGGAAAAATGGCCTAAACCCAAGCCAAGTCAGCCCCTCTGCATTTTTTGTTCCTTCCAACTTATGACAGCATCCCTTCAAATTCTATTTCTTCTCTTTCAGTGTTCTCCTTCCTGCCACTACCACTCCCTTCACCTGAGTGAACTCTTTCAATCACTTCCACTACCTGGCGGCAGCCCTTCAAATCCTTCCAAGACTTAAACGGATAAATGGACAACCCCACTCCACTCTTCCTTGTGCCTCTTGTCTGACCGGATCACAGTGCAGCAGCACAGCCATAACTGACTGTTCTGACAATGCTAGAAGTTGACAGATGCTAAGAAATTACAACAACTGACACAAAGAAAAAAAAAAATAAAAGCAAGCCCCTCTTCAATCACATCATGTCTGGATTTTGTTTTTCTATAAGCTCCTGCCTACATATATATTCCCGTTGGTGTTGAACTCTGCTTACTTTATACATGCCAAAAGGGTACAAGGGTAAAGCACACAGCGTGTTTAAAATAAAAGAAGATATGGGTGATATTGGAAGAGTTCTCTAGGGGGATTACAGTGATGTGTCATACCAAGTATTTGATGTATATTGTGATGACACTGTTCACCAGGAAAGAGAGATGTATAGTGCTGAGAGAGAGATGGGGCAAAGGAGGGTGACATAACCACACAATCCATTTTCAGTTTCACCCACAGGTGGAGTTACACTTGCTTTTCTCTATGGCCAAAGAGAAAAGAGACTGAGACTTGCAGAATAATCTCTGCTGGAAGGAGTTCCTGGAGGTCACCAGATCCAAACCCCCCACTCAGCTGCACCAGGGCCACGCTGAGTTCTGACTGTCCCCACGGATGGGAATCTGGCAACGTCCCTGGGCCCCTGCTGCAGAGTTTGACCACCCTCACAGCAAGAACTTCTTTTTAGTATCTACTCAGAGTTTCCTGTGTTGTCTTTTGCCATTTCACTGCACGTCTCCCAGAAGAGTGCGGCTCCAGCTCCTCTACATCCTCCCATCAGAATGCTGTAGGCAGCAATAATAACCCCCGTTACCCTTCTTTTCTGGAGGCTGGACAAACCCAGTTCCCTAAGCCTCTCCTCATTCATCATCTGCTCCAGCTCCCTGACCATCTTGGTGGCTCTGCACCAGACTCACTCCTTTATTTAACTTATTTCTCGTACCAGGGTACACAAAACTGGACACAGCACTGCAGGTGTAGTCAGGTCCTGTTTGCTACACTCTTGCTAATGCAGTCCAGGACACAGTTGGCCTTCTTTGCCAGAAGAGCACTCTCTAGCCTGAGGTTCAACTTGCCTACCACCATCTGCAAGGCACTTTCTGACTTTCCAGTCAGGCAGTCCCCAACCTGTACTGGTGCACAGGGCTATTCCACCCTGGACAAGGGACTCTACATTTGCTTTTGCTGCACTTCATGATGTGCCTGTCTGCCATTTCTCCAGCCTGCCCAGGCCCCTCTGATGTATTGACCACTCCCCCCAGTTTGAATTCCTCCACGGAGTTGCCAAAGCTGCTCTCCATCCTAGCGTCCAGGCAGTTAATAAAGACATTTAACAGTACTGAAGATGAGCGCAACACACTTGCCCTTTTCCAGTCACTGGGAACCTCCCCTGATTGCCAAGTGCCTTCGCAGTGACATCAACCAAGTCTCTCAGCACTCTTGGATGTACCTTGTCTGATGTCAGGGGCTGCTGTACATCCAATTAGCTTAAGAGCTGTATCACTGTCTTCCTTTACTGTGGGTAATTCTACATTCCCACAGACTCTGTTAGCAAACTCAGAAACCTAGCCGCAGCAAAAAAAGGCATCAAACACCTTTGATTTCCTTCACCCTGGCCCCGCTGAGCAGCTGGGTCTTATTTTCTCAGCCTTCTTTTTGTTGCCAATGTACCCAGAGAAACCCTTCCCATAGCTCGTTTCAGCTCCAGCTGAGCTTTGCCTTTCCCAGCTCTGTTCCTGCAGGTTTGGCCACTGTCTCTGTGTCCCTCCTGGATAGTCCTTCCCAGCTTGTGGACTTTCTTTTTGTGTTTGAGTTCCATCAGGAGGTCCCTGCTGATCCACACTAGCTTTCTGCCATGCTTGGCACTGCTTGCAGTACACTGGAGCGGGGCACCTGTGCTCTGGGGAGGTCACCCCTGTAGATTAACCCTCAGCCCCTCTGCCCCCCAAGGCAGTCTCCCATAGGACCTTGCCAAGCAGAGCCATCAAAAAGCCAAAAAAACCTGCTCTTCTGAAGAGTATGGTTCTAATTCTTTAAAATATAGATTCATGAATGGTTCCACTTTGAATCAGGATCAGGTCAGCAGAAGTTTAGAAGCAGTCCAGCTGGAGAGCAGCTGATCAGGGGCTTACTTTAAGTTCAGAAATTTTCAAGGTTACTAGAGTGTTAAGCTGTTGATATTTGCCTACTGTCTTTAGCAGGATTGGGAGTGGGAGTTGCACAGCAGACAAATTCCCCTGAAACTCCTGCAGTCATCTTGTTTCCAAGAACTGAAGAACTGCCTTTTTTTTTTTTTTTTTTTTCCTGGTGAGCTGCTGACCTCCACTTAAATGAACTGAAGAAGATGGGGGAGCTGACTACCTTCTTACACTGCCATGAACAAAGAACATCTCTCAGCAGATGCTCAGGTTACTGAACATCAACATTTCTCCCTCTCCTTTGAAAAACTTTTCTAGTTTTATCTGATCAACAACTCCTGACCTCCCCAAAAGTCACATTTAAGAGAAGCAAGATGATTTCAACCTAGGAACAAAACCTGTTACTATGCAACTTGTTGCCATAGCAACCAGTCATTCAGTCCAGGTCAAGGGTTTGCAGGCTAATACGGTATCCACACGGAAAGAGATAGCAACTAAATGTACATTACAGAATGTTTGCTTCTGCACGTAGCTAAGAGAAAAATCGCTATGTCTGCATCCCTGCTGCTGCTTTTTATTACCCTCATTTTGCTCACACAACAAATCCTGAAGCTGCTCAGGGAGAAAAGTAAATTAGATGTTTTTTGGAACTGTCATGAATCAGGTAAAAGCAGAATAGAAAACAGTCATCTGACAATCCAAGTGAATTTATGAAAATTTACTCCTTAGTTCAAACCTTTACATCAGGATCAACAGCTACAGTTATCTTTCAAGCTCAAACTATAAACTGCTGTGCCTGCCTTCCATGTCTTTTTCTTAAGACAGGCGACCTCAGTTAAAGCTTTGACAAAAAGATTTCAGAGGCATTTTCAAGGCTGCTGAACTTTGGCTCCTGTCATACTGAAAAATTGTACAGTAAGTGATATAACAGTACATCAGTGTCCAAAAGCATGTTTCTCCATCCTTTCCTAACTGGCCGTATGAAAGTAAAGGGGCTGGTAAGAAGATTAGAAAGGGACGTCCTTCATGCTCAGAGCTTGTGATTGAAGAGTGCAAAAAAATATTTTGCAATTAATGTCATCTGGAATAGCGTAACAGTGATGTGGGAGTCTTTCCTGAAGCACCCCCTGCCTGGTCTTTTTAAGTGTGCTACTTCAAATGACTACTACTTTAATGCCGCACATATCTTAAGAGTAGCAGAAACCTCACGGATGAGTACTTAAACTGAAAATACTGCTGTCAAGGTTAGTTCATACTCAACAGTTGAACTATCTAATTCTCATGGTAATTCTTCAGCAATTTTCATCCTCTCCAGCACCCCCTTCTAGATCCATCAGATCTGTAACTCTACCAAACCTGAGTGCTGACATATGTTGTCATTTCCTTTCAGCCACTTAAAAATACAAAATAAAACCCCTGCTGACCTGGCAGCCACCTCCCGCTGCTCCTAAGAGTAATGGGAGACTCAAATGACCAGGGGTCAGCAACTGGGGAGACTGGGATTCAGGAGCAGCTACTGGGCAGATGGACTGTCTGAGCCCAGCTGGTGGAAGGATCCACTTTGTAGATATCCATATATCTACATATATATATATATAA